AAGCCCAGCCAAAACACTGGTAAACATGGGCTAGCCCAACACTGGCCCAATGGAAACGCTGCTAAAAATGGGCTAGCCCAACCCAAGCCCAGCCAAAACACTAGTAAAAATGGGCTAGCCCAACACTAGCCCAACCCAAGCCCACGCCAAGCCCAACAAAAACATTGTAAAAAATGGGTCAGCCCAATCATCGACACTTTGGGGTTTATAATACTATACAGGCAGGTCGTGCGCCTCCACATGGCCGCACGTCGCGCCTCTAGAAGGGCTCCAAGTCCCGTTCCCTTTGGAGGATTCTACCACGCGCTTTGTCCAAAGCGTTGCTGCCCCGAGAAGAACATGACGTAGTCCAAGTACACTTGAGCCAAAATGGTCTCAGGTTCTAATCACCCTGAGAATGGCCACTGTCCACCCTAAGCCTGCCAGACCTGAGACAGTAATAAGTACGGATTCCCAATTCCCGATTATGGTTTCTGAGTGAAGGGCTCGGGGCTACGGATTCCAAGTTGCCCAGTTGCGGGTTCCGAGCTACGGATTCCAAGCCACTTACTTCTAAATGACTGGTTCCGACGTACGGATGATTCCGAGTTGTAGATTTCATGCAGCGGCGTCGGACTGATGGATGTACAATGACGGTTTCAAATCGGCTACGTCCACGTCACAGGACGACAACACACTTCGCAAAAACTGTGCATGTCTGTAACACACTGTTTGCAAGGTCAGCCAAGAGAAAGGAATCTGCAGAGTTTGCGTAGAGTGCTGGATCCACATGACCATCTGCAAAGCTTGAGCAAAGTGAAGAAACGGTGAATTAGACTCAGTAGGATCCACGCCCAAATGATCACCGCCAGCCAGGCCTGAGTAAAGGTAGAGTATAGACACGAAAAGCATGCAAGGCTACCAAGGGTGGGTTCCCGGCCCAGACGATCACCTGAAAGACCTTGGCCATCAAGACGCTTAACGCTCTATTTAATCCTATGGAACAATTGGAAGAGCTATTCCGGTAGAACCTCAATACGAGCCGCTTCTCTCAAACCATCTTGTAGCACAAGGCCTTGCAAATGCAACGTCGTCAACGCGCTGCGACTTTTCCAGCCTGTCACTTCTTACAAAACTATGTCCAGTTGCAACTCGGGCATGTCAGACATCCGGAGCTTGGGCCGCCCCTCTTCGAGGAACGTTTTATCCCCTGGCTTCAGAACATCCAGGAGGACATTTGCCCGCAACCAATCGCTGCACTCAAAAGCGCTTTGGGAATCCACATCCAAGTCCAAGGTTATAGCCACGGGCGTGGCCCACAGAAAAACGGTGTACGAAAAGACTCCGGTTTGAGATTCACCCAGCTTGTGGAAGTCTGCGTTAGCCTGTAGCAAGGCGCGGTGCTCTAGGATGAATGCCCAGTCGTTGATGTTGTCTAAGATCCTCAGTGTGGCACTACGGGAAAAAGGATTGTTGGAAGGGGAAATGAGAGCAACCTGTCTCGAAAGCGCGCAAAGGCAGCTCATCGCTGTTTGAAGTAAGAACCCTATCTGGGGAATATGATATGCCCAGATAGCTAGTATCCCACGACCTGTTGACGCGCGACTGGCTGGAACTAGAATGCGCGCAGCCTGCGCAGCCAGCTTACGGCACCTCCACAGCGCGCGCAACTAGTACAGTCCGACCAAGGCACAACGCATCGTGCACGCCATATTCAAAAGTGGACAAGTTCAATGTAGTGATGCCCTGGACTGTGACGACGAACGGGTTGCGGTACAAGCTCTTGATGAACGACGTCTTTGCGCTTTGAGACGGCCCCTGGAGAGCATACAGCTGGTAGCGCCTGGAAACTATAGAGACAGCATAGTTCCCAAACTCACTTTGTGGCAGGTTCTTGTTACGTACCCACAAACTTACACCCAAGGCACTCACAGGCAAACTCAAATTGCCGGCGGAAGGCAGGCAGGTTGGAGAACATGGGGTCTGAGGTTGCACGGAACGGCGCCCGGTTAGCGATAAGCTTCTGGACCACGTCTTTCTGGTAGACTCGCCTCACAGCCGCCGACCACACAATTGACATACAACACGTGGCCAAGCAACACAAGACAAAGTAAGCAACTGAACCGGAGCCCATCCCAGTCACACAGCAAGTTCTTTCTCTCGCTTTTCCACTGCCTCTGCATTTTGCAAATTGGTCTTGTAGGCCCGCCGACATTGGAGCAAATAGCTCGCGTACTGCTGGTGAGAGAATTTCCTGCGCTTTGGGGGTTCCCACAGAAGCCACACACATGGCCGCCAAGCGTCTTATTCTTGCAGCTGAGGCGCTGCACACACCACCAGCCAGTGACCCACGCTGGATTCACAGCGTAATCAATGAAAGGGTGCCAATCTGTAAAGGACCAGAGAGAACCACGTTTTCGACCTAAACACTATGGGAAGAAAGGTTGAAGCGACAAGCACAAGCTGTGAGTTCACAACGGCGGCCACTGAGGCCCTAGCACACTACGTAAAAATGCGCTCTTGCACGGGCTGCCTCAACGTCTTTTCCCCGAGCTTGGTTCGTCTCTATGTGCGGGACAACGCCACGAAACTTGAAGCAATCCCTGGTCCTTAGACACCGCTCTAGCACTGTTTTGGGTTGGTCTTTTCAATATCACCCACGAAACACGGGGGTTCCAGAAACCTCTTTTCAAAAAGCGCTTGACAATAACTAGCAGCTGCCGGTTGATTCTGCGCGCAAATGTGAACTGGGCGTGCAAATGTACACGGGGGGAACTGGCTTTCCAAAGATTCCTCCATAGTCAAGCTGGTGTGTTTTATTGGCTGCTCAAAGCGCTGTGGGAATTCCGAGGTGCCCCATTCCTTGGACGACAGCTTGCGCACACCCTCAAAGACAAAACAAAGCTCAAAAGGGGTGTATAATGTACTTCCGAGTCACCAAAAACTCTTGCAGCAGCACCTTTCCGCCCGCCTGGAACCAATCCGCCACAGCAGTCCCGCGGGGGACAAAGTCGCTGTTAAAGGTCAACATAACGTCGCAACAGCTTACCCGTCGCGCGGCAGGAAGAGGATCACCTCCATCGTGACCCACAAGCGGCAAAGGTGGAATCTGCGGCACAAACAGTGACACACCTGCGCTTTCGTTCCACTTCTTGATCGCCTCCTCAGCCTCCGTCCGCTCTAGTTGTGAGTCCAAGTGAGGAAGTAGCTGGGCCAGGAAAGCTTCCAGCGTCTCCTTGCCACAATCTCTGTCTACTCGGAGCGGCGAAGCCAGGTTGCGGCCAAGCCGCGTCAAAGTACGGATGGCATCCCTTCTTGCATGTCTGGCCCCGTCTGCCATGCCCTTCAAGTGGTCCGGGCAGAACCACACTACGGTCCAAAGAACATAAACCCACGTGTCACATAACCCTGCTTGCCGTCGAAAAAGCTGCGGCTTGGCACAAACAAACACCAACCGCGCCTAGCACCCGTCAACAATACTGAGCTGACGACCGCTTCCAAGGCCAACCACTCCACGCATCGAACCTCAGGCTGTAGCTAATGACAATGGCTTAAACCCCAGTGCATTCGCCTCAAGTCCACAGACATTCTAGCTCTCTGTCATGCTGCATCGGTCTAGAATCGGAAGTTTTTAGAGCAAATTTTTCAAGAAAACGCCAAGTGCAGCGCTGTTTCTGCTCTCGTTGTGTCCGAAGTTTTCAGATTGTCAAGACTACGGGCTGACGGAAGCAGCTGCAGGGTGTGCCCTGCACTGCGCTGTAAGATCTGCCTCGGCTCATCCTGACACATTGCGTCACCCTCACTCAGAAGGCCTCTCCGCCTCAAAAACAAAAAGTGTCCAAAGACAATCGCACTTTGACAGGACAAGGGCTGGACTGGTTGACCGGACATCCCGCGTGGGGCTGCAGCCTCCTGACGTCACCGACTGCAGGGAAAGAAACAAAAAGACCGTGCGTTAAAAGCTGGCAGACTTTCACCTCAAAAGTTCTCTCCTCTGTCGTCGCCTCTTGGTCCTGGCTTGCAAAGAAGTGACCACACTCATTGGTAAGATGGAACCCACCTGTTTGGCCCGAATCAACAGCTCCAGGTCTGCCTTCGACAACATCTTGGCGGCCTGCAGCTAGGACCGGCGGCAAAAACACAAACACAACGGTCAGCACGGCCTTGACCAACCTTTGCTTGCGCTTGGCTTGCTTGCGGGCTTCCTTCTGGTTGTTGCGGATGGCTTTGCGCAAGTTCTTTCTGTCCTCCTTCAATTTCTGCAAGTCGGCCTGTAGCATCTCCTGGCAATTTGACGTCCCCCAAAGCCGGGTACACTTCCACCCCACTTTTTCTGAGCCACCCTGGATGGCCTCCCCTGTGCACAATTGCAGCTTTTCGGCGGTCCGAGGTGAAACTAATTCAAAGTACGAATGTACCACACGTCAGGGTTTCCACTGATATATTTCGCACGATTCCCACACCAGTTGCGCGGAAAGAGTAGAGTTGCCACCTCCTCGCTGGGCCACACTGGCGGGACCTGGGGCGCGGTACTCCAGTGTAGCTGCTTCAACAAATGACTTGACATGTTCCGCTGTTGCTGCAGAATTCCATCACTCTCA